AGTTTGAATAAGTTAATGCTACTCTGCCAAACCTAATGTTCTCTTTTGGCCCTTTATTCATTTAGTAACTGGGCCACTTCCCCTAGTGTATTAATTATGGCCTACAAGTGAGTGAAAATTTTAAGCTCCTACATTAAATCATTTTAGGACATTGGGAGTAGGAGTTAGCAAGTCATTGCTTAAGTTAACTAAATAATAAGCCAGTAAGGGTAAATGCAACTCACTAAAGGGCCAAACATAAAAACAAATAGCTCATGCACTAGAATATTTTAATGCAGTGTTTCATCTTTATGTACCCTACTAACACAGATTCTAGCTCTGGTTCAAGTGGCCACTGCAAACGCATCTGCCTTTATGAACATGCCCCTCCTTCAGTAAAACATTTTGAATATGTTATTCACAACTTGAACAATCCTATATCCAGGCCTGAAGAAAGTGGGAGTATGGATGGGTGTCCCTCCTTGTCTTGTTTGTTAATTCTGGACTTCAGTCTTGTACAGAGGGAAAGAAAGAGGGGGTGGAAATGAGAGGATGGGGTTTGAGAGCACTGGCTTTGGGATTTAATCAACAGCATATAGCTTCAATTCACCCATCTGGTGCTCCATAAATCAAACTTATTTATCTTTTAATTTTTTAATCTTTAGTTATTATGAATACATAGTGCATAATTATTGGATGTATGTGATATTTTGATACAAGGTATACAATGTATAATGATCAGATTAGGGTAATTGGAATATCAATCACCTCAAGAATTTATCATTTCTTTGTGTTAGGAACATTCCCATTCCACTTTTAGGTATTTTGAAATATGCAATACATTATCCTTAATTATAGTTGCCCTATTGTGCTACTGAACACTAGGTCTTATTTTTTTCTATAAAACTAGTGCAGTTTTAAATAACTATATTTTCATACCCACTAACCATTCCCTGTTTATCCCTCCCCGCCACCTTTCTCAATCTTAGGTAAGCATCACTCCCTCTTTACCTCCATGAAATCTACGTTTTTTTTAGGTCCCACATATGAGTGAGAACATGTGAGGCTTGTCTTACTGTTCTGGCATATTTCATTTAACATAATGACCTCCGATGCCATCCATGTTGCTACAAATGACAGGATTTCATTCTTTTTCTGGCTAAATAATATTCCATTGTATATATATTCCATATTTTCCTTATGCATTCATCCCTTGATCAACACTTAGGTTGATTCCATATCTCGGCTATTGTGCTTAGTGCTGCAGTAAACATGGGAATGCAGATTTCTCTTCAACATACTGATTTCCTTTCTTTTGCGTATATGCCCATTAGCAGCATTGCTAGATTATATGATAGTTATATTTTTAGTTTGTTGAGACACCTCCATAGTGTTCCCCATAGTGGCTGTACTAGTTTACTTTCTCACCAACAGTATACAAGTATTCCCCTTTCTCTACATCCTTGTCAGCATTTGTTATTGTCTGTCTTTTTGATAAAAACCGTTTTAACTGAGGTAAGATAGTATCTGGTGGTTTTGGTTTGCATTTCTCTGGTGATTAGTGATGCTGATCTTTTTATATATATATATAACTGTTGGCCATTTGTATGACTTGTTTTGAGAAATGTCTATTTAGATCTTTTGCCTGTTTTTTAATTGGATTATTTGAGGTTTTTTTCCTACTGAGTTGTTTGAGCTCTTTACATATTCTGATTGTTAATCCTGTTTCAGATGGGTAGTTTGCAAATATTTTCTCTCATTCTGTGGGTTGCCTCTTCATTATGTTGATTGTTTCCTTTGCTGTTCAGAAGCATTTTAGCTTGACATGATCCCATTTGTTCATTTTTGCTTTCGTTGCTTGTGCTTTTGAGGTCTTCCTTCAGAAATCTTTGCCCAGACCAATGTTTGGAGTGTTTTCCCAACGTTTTCTTTCAGTAGTTTTAGAGTTTCATGTCTTAGATTTAAGTGTTTTATCCCTATTGATTTGACTTTTGTGTATGGTGAGAGATAGGCATCTATTTTCATTCTTCTACATGTGAATATCCAGTTTTCCTAGCACCATTTATTGAAGAGACTGTCCTTTCCACAATGTGTGTTCTTGGTATTTTTGTTAGAAATAAGTTATCTATAAATGCATAGATTTAAATCTGCATTCTCTATTCTTTTCCATTGGTCTTTGCATCTGTTTTTATGCCAGAACCATGCTGTTTTAGTTACTGTAGCTTTGTAGTATAATTTGAAATCAGGTAATGCGATGATTCCAGCTTTGTTCTTTTTGCTCAGGATTGCTTTGGCTATTCTGGGTCTTTTGTAGTTCCTTGTAAATTTTAGATTTCTTTTTTATTTCTGTGAAGAATGTCATTAGTATTTTTATAGGGATTGCACTGAAACTGTAGATTGCTTTGGGTAGTATGGATGTTTTAATGATATTTATTTTTTCAGTTCATGAACTTGAAATATCATTCCCTTTTCTGTGTCCTCATCAATTCTTTTGTCAGTGTTTTTGTAGTTTCATTCTAAAGATTTTTCACTCCTTTGGTTAGGTTTATATCTAGATATTTTATTTTAGCTATCGTGAATGGGATTACTTTTTTGGTTTCTTCTTCAAATTGTTCACTGTTGGCATATAGAAATGATACTGATTTTTATATATTGATTTTGTACTCTGTAACTTTACGGAATTTATCATTTAATGCAATATCTGCATTCTATTAAGAATCAATCAAAACTGCTGCTGAGAGGACATGCTCTCTTGTTTCAGCCTGGTTTTGCAGGATTGGGCTGTGGGGGCCCATTACCCTGGCAGGAGTAACCCTGTGTGTGTACCCACACACATGCCCTGAGATCAGGACTCACATACCATTAGTAAGACATATGTCCTACCTACCCCAGACCCTACTGGTCTGTCCTGTGTGGTATAGAAAATGAGAGAATTAGGTTTGTAGAGCCTAAGACAGCTACCCAGATGTGCCAGTGAGTGTGCATATACCTAATTCTTCTGAACATATGCATCTTATTGGTGCCAGTGTGGTTTTACATGGCAGAGAAGCTTCCCTATTGCTTTAGGTTTCGACACAAAGACCCATTATTTCTTTTCCTGCCATCATACACGTTCTCATATAACTTCACACATCTACTTTGTGAATGCTGCACCTCCTTTTCCAGCTACTATATTCTTGTGCTACCCAAGATCCAATTTATATAGAAGTATAGAGCATTAAATACTCAAAATAATACGTTTCCATATTTAAATGTTTAAAGTAGAATCTTGAGCTTTTTTTTTAACCTAGATTTTTTTCACATTTTACTTAATGTTTGTTTTTTTATACTTCTGGTTTTCTAAATGGAATGTAACTGAATACATTCGGACCATATATTATAAAGTATAAAAACATGTATTAGTTATCCGTTATCAAATGATGAGGTTAGAAATATATAGTCCCCTGAATTTCTGAACAAAAAGCAATATTGGCTTTAAGGCTCTAAGTCTAAACAGGACTTGCTATTACAAGCTAGAAGGTAGAAGAGGCTTTCTTATGTTAGCACTGTCCCAGAGTCTTAGCTGGGAGTGAGTTCAGAGCCTCTAAAGACCTCAGGATCCCACAAAAATACAAACCCTAATGTAAGCTTAATCTTCTGATTAGTGTTACATCTGATTGGAAAGAGTAATACAATGAACTTTCATTTCAGAAATATGATTTTTGTGACATAAATTTATATTGGGAATGTAGTTTCATCATGAGGTTGTTCACATAGTTTTTATTTTTAAATTTTGTATTATGGAATGTTTTAAACACATACAAAATTAGAATAAGAAAATGAATATGCCACATTATCCACTTTCAACAGTTATTAACATTTTGTCAATCGTGTTTTATTTAAAGCTACCTCCCTTTTTTCTTTGCCCCATATTTTAAAGTAAAATTCAGACATCTTGTCAATTCATCTGTAAATGTTTTAGCATTTATTTCTAACTTATAAGTCCTTTTTAAACAGAACCATCATGCCATGTCATACCTATAAAATTAGTAATTTCATAATATCATCCAGAATTCTCCCACATTAAAATTTCTCTGATTATCTCAAAAATGTCTTTTTATAGATTATTCAAATTAGAATTCATATATAAGGTTTATACTGTGTGTTTGCCTGTTTATATCTCTTGGGTCTGTTTTTCTCTATATAAATATTGGTATTTTAGTTTTTCTTTAGATTTACTTATAATTTATTAAAGGAGTTAAAAGGGAAAAACTGGTACCAAAATTACTGCCTTAGATGTTATCTTTAAATCATTAATCTGTACATTCTTTATATTTTCAGATACATACATAATGCTGAAATGTGAAGGGCTGGGAAAAAAGAGAAAAGAGTGGACTTATTTTTTTGGGGGGTAATTTGAAAACAACCATGATTGATTTTTATTATTCCAATGCAAAAATCAAATGCAGAAATTTGGCATCTACCCTGTTTGAGTCCAAGTATGTCTATATTAAATCACACTTTAAGCTATATTATAATTTGACCCAATAAATTATCACAATTATGAATACAAACTTTGTAAATAGTGAGTCTTTGCTTCTAGAATTTTAAAAAATCTTTTCTCTTGCATATTTGGGGTTTTTCTTTCAGCATAATAAATTTAGGTGTTTTCTTAACAAACATGAGTGACTTTTCTTACCAAACATCTTTCCTATTGTTACCAGTTAGCACACCTAAATGGCTTGTTTGTCCATTTGATGGTATTCCTGTTGAGCTCAATTTGATGTCTCAGAAACATTTTTCCTTGTAAAAATAGTTGAATCACATATTTCCTTCATTTTTAATACGTATTTTGCTATTCTACCAGGTTGGTGCGTTATTTTCTTTCAACATTGTAGGAAGACAAAAAAGAATTTCTTCTTCCACTATAATTTTAACACTACCAATTCTTGATTTAAATTGTGCAGTACTGCTAAAATGCCTCAAATTTTTACCATTTCTTTTTATAAACTCTCAATCTTGTGATATCTTTCCTTTCTTAGGATATGAACGAGACTGCCAAACAAGAAGATATTTTGGAATCCACAACAGATGCTGCAGAATGGAGCCTAGAAGTGGAACGTGTACTACCGCAACTGAAAGTCATGATTAGAACTGACAATAAGGTATCAAAGAGGGAACACATTTTCTCCAAAAAAATGTTATAAGGCAACTTCAGGGTTAGGGGTACTCCCAGTTATAAAAATTATTAAAGAAGGGCAGTAGGATTCAGTTTTCAGCATTTTGTCTTAATAGGGATTTAACAAATTGTTATTAAATAACTAAATAATGTAACCTGGTCCAAAAAGCAAAGCAAAGATCTTCAAAAGAGTGATTTGGAAGACATCATATTTGCCTGGTGTTGAGGGGTATTTTCTCAGAAGATTTTCTGGGAAATCATATTGTGTTTAGATGAATAGGAATTCCATGACCATACCAATTGATTAGAGTTATAAGATGGTTTAGAACTCTGCTGGATGGCAAAATGGAAAGCAGCCTGGAAGTGATCTTAATCTATTCAATACATGTGATTAAAAATAAAATGTTAAGAAAATAATCAAGAAGTCATATTTAATAAGATTTAGGGATTAGGCCAGATTAACTCACCCATTGTATGAAGTTTCTGCTTCCTTTCTAGTTACAATTTTATAAATACTGTTGCATTTGTTTTTGTACTGCTATGAAGAACTGCCCAAGACTGGGTAATTTATAAAGGAAAGGTATAATTGACTCACAGTTCAGCATGGCTGGGAAAGCCTTAGGAAACTTACAATCATGGCAAAGGCCAAGGGAAAGCAAGGCATCTTCTTCACAAGGCCACAGGAAGAAGAAATGAGCAGGGGAAATGCCAGACAATTATAAACTGAGAACCCCAAGGGAAAACACCACATTCATAATCCGGTCACTTCCCACCAGTTTCCTTCCTCCCTTAACACTTGGGGATTACATTTCAGGATGAGATTTGGATAGGGACACAAAGCTAAACCATGTAATTCTGCCCCTGGCCTCTCCCAAATCTCATGTCCTTACATTTCAAAACATAATCATGCCTTCCTGACAGTCTTCCAAAGTCTTAACTCATTCCAGCATTAACATACAAAGACTTATCTGAGACAAGGCAAGTCCCTTCTGCCTAGGATCCTGTAAAATCAGGGTTTGAACTGCACAGGTCCACTTATAGGCAGACTTCCCAATAAACGTTACACCCAGTATGCCTGCTGTTCTGCATCCTCTTCCACCTCCTCTACCCCTTCTGCCTCTGCCCGCTCTGAGACAGCAAGAGCAACCCCTCCTCTTCCGCCTCCTCAGTCTACTCCACGTGAAGACAATGAGGATAAAGACCTTTCTAGTGATCCACTTTTACTTAATGAATAGTAAATATATATTTTCTTCCTAGTGATTTTCTTAATAACATTTTTTTAGTTTACTTTGTTGTAAGAATGCAGTATATAATACATGTAACATAAGGAATATGTGTTGTTTATGTTATCAGTATCACTTCTAGTCAAAAGTAAGCTGTTAGCAGTTAAATTTTTAAGGAGTCAAAACTTATGCATGGATTTTCTACTGTACAAAGTGATTGGTGCCCCTGGAGACCAACCTCTGCACTGTTCAAGGGTCAACTGTAATGACTTCAGAATCAGTTAATAGGTTACTAGACAATACTATTCTAGCAGCAGTATAAATATCTCTACAAAAGGGGCTAAAGAAACATCTAGATAAGGAAACTGAGGGAGGATTTTCGTCCTTGGAGGTTGGACATAAGCCCCTACCATTATGGAACAAGGTTCTAGAAAAGCTTATCACTCTGAAAGTGTGATCCTGTGTCTGCTTCCGGAAAAAGAAAAAAAAAAATCTTACAAACATTGCTGTTCTCAGAATGCCTTGGAAGCTGATTTATTCTTAGAATGTCTGGATTCGAGCTTGTATAACTGTATCTCAGAGCAGGTAGGAAGTAAGCTAGACTCCTACAGCAGTCCCAGGATAGGGCGAGAGCAACAAAGGTCTTACTCCACTGTGAACAGCTGTAGAACAAACTCTATTCAAGGTAAGTGGACAAATCCTATAATCTGTTTACCTACTCATTATGGTAGACAATTATTAATTGATTGCATTGCAGGTGAATTCTTTGTATAGTTTTTATATCTAAAAATATATTAATAAGAATTTCTTCTTCACTGATTAAGTAAAATCTTCTGGAAGTCTTCATTTGCAAAAATGTGATTTTTTTACAAAAATGTAATTTCTGATTTTTTTGGTCTTGTCAGAAAAAATTCACTTCCTAAAATTAAAAATCACTATTATTGTGATTCTGGTTAGATTGTTGTGTTAAAATAATTATATAGCTGGAAACTCTCAAGTACAGCTTAATCCCACAAGGAAGCAAGTTTAATTTGTTTACTTTCAAGCTAAATAAACTCTTGAAGTCAAACGTCTCATTTAGAGTCTAATAGGGATTTTTTAGAGTGCAGTTATTAATTTTTGCATTAATAGGAGTATCTTAAGAAAAAATATAAATGTGACTGCTAACACACACCCTTTTTACAAAACTATGTGCAGGTCAAATTCTATAGCAGACCAGTATTGCCATCATCAAAATCCTGAGTTTTTAGATAATCAGAGTTCTCCTGATTTGGGGAAGAGTTAATGAGTTGAAAGTTGGACCCTTATTGTCATGCCACTCTGTCGGCCTTAATCTTGTGAGGATATACGCTGTCAAATTAATTGCAAATTTAAGTTTTATGGCCAGCATTCCAAAATATCAGATAATGGGTTTTTTCATTATGTTTTAGAATATGTAGGTATCATTTTGAATTTAGATCTTTGTGATAAAAACTACTGACCAAAGTCATATTTGATTGCTTTTTCAGAATTCTTCTTTAGATGATTTGGTCTTTGTATCTAGTATTATTTTACAAACTCCTCTTCTAAGTCTTTCAGATATAGCAATTGGGAAATGCACCTTTAGGGTCAGGTGAATTCTTTATACAGCTTATTGAAAAATAAATATATATATACTGGCTTGAGAAAATAAGGGGCTAATGAAAAGTTTCATAACAATAAATAAAATAGAAATAAAAATAAACCATCTGGTTATATATGAACTCTCTTCTCACAGACTCATTCTCCTCCAGAAGAGATGGACTCCAGCATTTATGGTCAACCCTTTCCTTCTCCGCTGCTTACTCTACCCTTTCCCTTCCCTTTGGCCAAAATAATAATCTTTCACTCAAGACAAGCTATCTAGGATATCTAGGTCTTTTGTGTTTGAAAGAAAAAAAGAAAGAAAAGAAGTGTATTATTTTGGGATCAGTGTGTTTTACTGGTCAGTATTGGATTAATATTTAAGTGGTTTAGAGGTGAGAGAGCCAAGTAGGAAAGGGGTGCTGTTATTTAAATTTGGTAGTGAATAAATCCCATATTTATTTGGCTCTGGATCAAATATGTGTTTTGCTTTTTTTCTCTCACATTTCTTTCTTTCTTTTTTTTTTTTTTTTTAATCAGGCAGCCTTCTGAGCCATGGTACCCTCAGAGAATCCCCCTTTTTTTTTTTTTTTTAACTTACATGAAAGCAAGTTTCATTATTAGAGAAAAAACAAAAGAATGGCTACTCCATGGGCAGAGCAGCCTTCTCTCACACATTTAGTTTTTTCTTTTTATGCTTCCTAGCAGGGAATCACAAAAAAGTAAATCTCCTTTTCTATTCTTTGTATGTGTTTTAATATATGTGCTTTGATGAGAGCTTATCATATACCAATATTTTATTTTGTATACTCTCCATAGTACTGCAACAAGGTTTTTACTGCTAAACTAGCTTATTCCTATTGTCTGGCTCCCCTTGCTACTATTGCCAGTTCTCAAAGAATGCAAACTAATTTTAATATTAGCTTAAACAGAATACAATTAGGAAAGTAAATGTTGCCAAAAATACAAATGATATGCTTCACAACTGAAGATAAAGAATTTTTGTTTTATGCTGATTTGAATGGACCGTATTAATGGTTCATTTTTTTGCATTGATTATAATGTTCCTGGTAATTACAGTTGACCTTTGAATGATGTGGAGGTTAGGGATGCCAATCCCTGTGCATTTTAACTTTTGGCTCTTCAGAACTTACCTACTAATAGCTTACTGTTGGCTGGAAACCTTACTAATAACATAAACAACACATATTTTGTATGTTATATATCCTGTATTCTTACAATAAAATAAGCTAGAGAAAAGAAAATGTTAAGAAACTCATAAGGAAGAGAAAATATATGTACTATTTATTAAGTGGAAGTGGATCATCATAAAAGTCTTCATCTCCCTTGTCTTCACATTGAGAAAGCTGAGACAGGAGGAGGGACTAGAGGAGGAGGTGGCCTTGCTGTCTCAGGGGTGGCAGAGGCAGAAGAGGTGGAGGAATAGGAAAGGGAGGCAGGAGAGGCAGACACACTAGTGTAACTTTATGGAAATGCATTCTAATTTATGGCTGTTTTGATTTTTCATTTCTCTAAAAACGTTTCTGTATATTACCAGTTCTTCCACAATTTGCTTTAATTTTTCATAAAAGGGTCCACATTATAAAATCAGTCCAAAGCAATCTTGAATCATCAGAGCCCTCCTGCCAATTGTCCAGTGTCAAAATTTGTTTTCTGGTACTGCTTCTTCTTTGAAGTCTTCTTCATTATTTGACACTGGTTTGGAAGCACTTATCTCCATCAAGTCATCGTTTAATTCCTCTGCTATGTCTATTAGTTCTTGAATTTCTCCAAAATACATATTTTGAAACCTGTTATCCCCACCAACATTTTTTTTTTTTTTTTTTTTTTTTTTTTTTTTTTTTTTTTTTTTTTTTTTTTTTTTTTTTTTTTTTTTTTTTTGGCCACGCCACAATCTCTTTCATGATTTCCTTGATTGTCTCTATCATAAATCCTGGGAAGTCATGCACACGTCTGGCACAGTTTTCTTCAGCAGGAATTGGTTTTAGACTTGATGGCTTTCACAGGCTTTTCTATAACAGCAATGGCACCTTCTTTGATATAATCCTTCCAGATTTCTATGATGTTTTCTCTATTGGAGTTCCACAGTGTTGACAATTCTTTCATAGACTACTATGTATAATAAGACTTAAAGGTCCTT